TTTATTATTATACATAAATTCAATATTTAAACGTTTTTGATTTTTATAATTAAAATTTATTTCTTTTAAACGTTTATATTCATCAATACGACGTGATATTGTTATTAAATTTAAATTATCTTTTATATAGCATTCATATATTGTTGGATATGTTAAACGTATAAATGTATTTGATTGTAAGTAACCTAAATTTTCATGATAATTTAATGTATAATTTAATTGATAAATAGTTGAATAATTGTCAAGAAATTTTCTATGATATTCCTTTGAAAATATAACACGTAATTCAAATGAATTTATTGTATTATATTTAATAAACAAAATAAAATATGAATATTTATCATAATAATAATCAATATAATTATTAAGTAATGAATTATTATTATATTCATAAATTTGTTCATGAATTTGTCCACGTGGATATTCAATATGAATTTGTTTTTGATAATTCATATATTTATATGATATTTTACAACCATCAGAAAATGAATAAATTAAACGATTATTATCATCATATTTATATGTTATTATTCGATGAAATGGAAAATAAATTCGTTGAAGATTTGATTTTGAATCATATTCCCATATTTGTGTATGTAAACCAGAATAAATTAAACGATAACCATTGAAATATGTGCGATATTCAATTGTATGTTCAGCTTGATTTGGCATTATTATACCAGTTATACTTCCTGTTGAATCTTTACGTAACATAACATTCGATTGAGAACCATAAGTTATTCCAACAGGCTAAAAAAAAGTAAAACAATGTTAGATTAAAGCTTTTGACAACAAATACGAGTCTTTTATGAACAAATAACTTTTGTAGAACTCAATTCAACACTATTGAATGAGTGATTTTGATTCTTAAAGCAGATTTTCTTTTTTATATTACCAATCTTAATCACATTAACATTTTTGTAGGCTGAAAGCTCATTGATAACTCATTAAAAAATATCCAGAATTAGGTTTTAATTCATTTTGGTAACTCTTACCGTTAGATATGAGCGAAATGGCCCCAATTCGATAAAACCGGGGCTGGTATAAAAAATGACTTATCTCGTTAATGTCTACCTACAATTTATTAGTTTGAAGTGATATCGTTCAACGAATAAATTCTCAGAAAACTATGTGTAGTGTGAGCGCCAAAACAAGAGCAAGGTGAGAATACGACAAATCTTTCGAGACCAGTGCTAGCTAGTGATCTCGGATTTTCAGAAATCGAAAGAGAAGATTTCGAAACAACGGTTTTTTTTAATTCTAAAAAAGACGATATTATTTTAAAAATTAAGGATCTGCAGTTTCAGTTTACTGGCCATCGATATTACAAATGCAATGTCATTAGTGCACATTGACATAAATGTCTACTAAAGAATTGAAACACACTGCTACAATTGACATGTGTCTTAGATAGATAGACACACTTCAAATATTTAGTTCAAAGCAGAATTCGAAAGATTATCTTCTCACATCCTTATGTTTGAGCCAATAATTTCGTGAATGTGCTCGATCGAATAATATGGCAATGATTTCGCCTTCTATATTATCGAAGAAAAAAAACATCCGAATACTTTCGTCGTTCAATTGTTGAAATTCCTAGATCATAGTCTAGTACTGTTCTCGAAATGCATCTCTTACTCTCGCAAAAGCTAGTCGAATTGGTCACGAACTCGAGACTGACCCTACAAGTCATATCCTTCCCGTAACATCCAATTTTG